GTTGGCCCAGGATCGGACATTGTTTCGTTCTACTGTGCATGGGGTCGCTATGAGTCGGTTCCAACTCGATGGCACCTGACAACAACAACAACAAATTTTCCAAGGAGTAGCTGGTGGGTTTGAACTGCCAACCTTGTGGTTCACAGTCCAGTGCTGATCTTACTGTGCCACACCAGGAGTCCAATATTAATACTTTTTTGTTGTTATTAGGTGCCATTGAGTCGGTACCAATTCATAACAACCATATGTACAACAGAACGAAACACTGTCCAGTCCTGTGACAACCTCACAATCGTTGCTATGCCCAAACCTAGTGCTGCTGTCACTTTGCCAATCTATCTCGTTGGGGTCTTCCTCTTTTTCTCTGACTCTCCAATTTACCAAACATGATATCCTTTTCCAGGGACTGGTCCCTCCTGATAATATGTACGAAGTATGAGAGACCAGATAGAAGGAAAGCCATTATTTTACTTTTGTGAGGCTATTAAAGTTGCTTGGGGAAAAAATTACCAAAATATCAGCCACTCTTGACAGCTGCTTTATGAATATGTACCCAGTTTTCACACCTTTGGCTTTGAGGACCATGATCCTTTGCTGCAGGTCAATGAAGGGCTGGATCAGGCAGAGCCGAGGTTCCTGTTTCTGACTCAGGCAAATACCGTTGTGATTCACAACCATCCAGCTCCGGTCATACAGCAGTCCTTGGTTTCCTACAGGCCACCTGGTCACCTAAACAAAAAGGTGGGTGAATTTTAGGCCTGGACTGCAGTAATGACCGTCACATTATTGCATAATGACTGTACAAGCAGATGGATTTTATACACTCAACACATTCAGGAAGAGGAGGAAATGCGAAGACAATAAAATGAAGACAGTACTGGGAACTCTGCAGGACTTGCAGGTAGCAGTGGTGGTGGTGGTAGCAAAGCTTCAGACCACTGAGTTCACTCCAAGGCAGGTGACTATGAAAGTCTCATATTTTCAACAAAAGTCCACAAATGAAGAAATAACATTTGTCTTTCAAGAAAGGGAAAATCTTCCTGTTACAGAAGATAACTTTGTGAAACTGCAAGTTAAAGCTTGTGCTCTGAGTCAGATAAACACAAAGCTTCTGGCAGAAATGAAGATGGAAAAAGACTTCTCTCTTGTTGGGAGAGAAATTGCTAGAATTGTGTTAGATGGTGTGGTGCCATAGGATAAGCACTCAACCTCAACGTCGGTTTGAACCACAAGGTTGACGGTTCAAACTCACCAGTCACTCCTCGGAAACCCTGCACAGGGTCGCTATGAGTCGTAATTGACTCAAGGACACTTAACAACTAGAAGTTCAGCCCACACAGTTCAAAGATCAACTGCAATTTGTTTCTAATTAGATCTACTCATCATATTCACAGCTAGATAGCCATTAATCATTGTTTGATGTTCGCGCATACTACTATGTGAATGAATGAATATGTGATAATGTGGTTAGACTGTATTTGCAATTGCCTTTGGTTTTGACCAGCAGCGTATCTGATACTCTCCTTCTATGTAATCTTAGGTAAATGATCATTTAGTTTTCTTTGCCCAACTGTAGAGAAGATAAAAATAAGTATAATAGCCAGAATGAAAAAAAAAAAAGAAAGAAAGCAATGGGAAAGAGATGGCACAGAAGATGGATCTCTCCCACTCATCATGCAGATTCACTCGAAACCATCCTAGTTCTTAACTAGGTTATGCATGTGCATGGTGCAGCATTCAGAGCGATCTCCACCCATCTGCTCCCCAGGTCCCCTTCCCACAGCTGTCTACTATTCCTGCTTCTTGTATGTTCTTCACGATACTGGGTGCTACACAGACCTAGCCTTACTACACACAAATGGCAGTTGTCATTTAGGATTGAAATGTATCCTCCGAAAGTATGAGCTTTAATCCTAACCCCTATATTTGTGAAAGGAGCTCTGGTAGCGTAGTGATTACAAATCAGGCTGCTATCCTCAGGGTTAGCAGTTCGAAACTACCAGCTGTTCTGTGGGAGAAAGAGGAGGCTTTCTGCTCCCATAAAAATTTACAGCCTCAGAAACCCTGTACAGGGTAGCTATGAGTCGGAACCAACTCCACTGCACATAACAACAACAACAACAACATATTTGTGAAGTCCTGGTGTAGCATTGCAGGATGAGCACTGGACTGCTAATTGCAAGGCCGGCAGTTCAAACCCACCAGCCACTCCTCAGAAACCCTATACAGGGTCGCTATGAATCAGAACCGACTCTATGGCCTATATTTGTGGATATAATCCCATTTTGGAGAAGGAGTCTCTTTGCTATGTTAATGAGGTCACACAGTGATATTTCACAAAAGTGTGTTCCAAGACAATTATCTTTGAGATATAAAATGAGCAGATTAGGAACAAAGTAACAGAATTGAATAAAGTTAGATGCCACTCCATGTGAAGATCGCCAGGAATTGAGGAACAGATGCTAAAAAGAGACAAGGACCTCTCCCTAGAGCCAGACTGAGAGAGAATAAATTTGTTTGTTAGAGCTTGTGTTTCTGTTATAGCAACATTAGAAAACTAAGACACAGAGGTGGTGGTGGTGGTTATGAGCCGTGAAGTCGATCCGACCCATAGCAACTCTGTACAGGGTTTCCAAGGCTATAAATCTTTATAGGAGCAGAAAGCCTCACCTTTCTCCTGTGGAACAGCTGGTAGTTTCGAACTGCTGACCTTAAGGTTTGCAGCCCAATTCATAACCACTATGCTACCAGAGCTCCTTAGCAACACCCAAAGGAGCATTCTATCAAACAACTTAAGTGTGAAAATGTTCCTGAATTCTTCATAAAATACAAATTATCAAATGGCCTATGGATATTATTATGAATTGAATTGCATCCTCAAAATATGTGTTGGAATCCTAATTCCTATACCTGTATAAATAACTGTGTTTGGAAATCATGTTTTCTTTGTTTTGTTAATGAGACCATTCCAGTGTAGGGTGCATCCTAACCCTAATCACTTCCGAGTTATAAACAGAGTAGATTAGACCCAGAGACACAGGCACACACAAGGGAAAGACAGATGCCATGTGAGGCTTGTCTACAAGCTAAGGAATCAAGGAACACCCAGGGCTACCAACAAGGATGGAATCAATACAGCCAAGACTGATTTGCACTTTTAACCTCATGAACTGTGAGAAAAGACATGTCTGTTTTTCAAGCCTCCTTCTTGTGATATTTGTGTCCTGGCAGCAATGGATAATTTAGATGTTGATCCTTTCATCTCCTCCCTTTTTTCCTCTGTGTATCAAATAACCTCTCCACCTGGAATATGTCCGCTGCTGCAATGCAGCACTCAAATTCAGCAGTGTTAGGCATGAGCCCAGAACACATAATGGATGAGCCAGGAACCCATAATGGGTCTGCACAGGTGAGCCTAGAAGCCACTCTTTCTATAGGAAGCAATGGTTTGAACTCCAAATAACTTTTTAGAACACAATCTATTTGGAGAGGAAATTCTCCATAGCGCTCTCACAATTCTGCATGTCTACAACTCTAGAGCCGCTATAACTGCCTTTTGGTTCCAGATTATCTTTGCAAGAATGTCTCTACAATGAACAGATATGCAATCCTCTGGGATAGAGGGCAGTTTGCTTATTGTCCAATTTAATAAAGGTAATGTCTCCCTCCTGAGCAAAGGCCACACAGGTGTGCTGGCTCTATTAGAGGGGTCAGGTTCCTCAACTATGACATCAAACCACTGTGTAGACAGCATCCACCTGGACCCCTCTGCATCAACCTCCGGCACCTGGGGAGGAGGGAGAACCAACACACACATGAAGCTTGTGCTGTTTCTATGCCATAAAGCAATAATCCTTTATCTCTGACCCAGGAGTCTCATGTCTTTTGTGACAGGCTCAAGTAGGGTAAAATCCCAGATCCTCACAAATCTTTATACCTATTTATTGAAACATGCAGATACCTTTCTATCCCTTTATTTATTAGCTGATAATTCAATTTACTGGCTTCTTCCTTCCTTTCTTCTTTGGGTCGAGCTTTAAGGAAGTATAAATATATATATATACATATACATATATAGCTTATTGTTGCTAAGTGTCATCGAGTCAGGATCCGACTCATAGTGACCCTGTACAGGGTTTCCAAGGAGCAGCTGGTGAGTTGGAACTGCTGGCCTTAATGGCCCAAACTGACATGGCAGTTTACCTCATTAACTGGCAGCGCCACACCATATATATGGATTCCTGGTGTGGCACTGTGGTTTAATGCGTCAGACTGCAAAGCCGTTTGAACTGCAAAGTTGGCGGTTCAAGCTCACCAGTCACTCCTCAGAAACCCTATACAGAGTTGCTCTGAGTTGGAACCGACTCGATAGCACTTAACAATATACATATGGTGGCAAGGGAAATGGGCATTTGTGGGGAAATTGAATAAATAAGAATTCACTGAGGATAATGGGAGCCAAGTTTTTCACAGAGGTTACTGATATAGAAAGGGGGTTGTTGTTGTTAAGTGCTGTTGAATTGATTCTGACCCATAGCGACACTATTAGCAACACACCTAGAATATTGTGTGTTGAATAGAAACTTGAAGGATTCATTTGAAATTGTGAGTATGTATATATGTATAGATAGAATAAGGGTAGATGGCTGGCTGGAAAGATAGACGGACAGACAGAGATACAGGCATGTATGTGTGTGCCATGTGTTTGTGTTTTGGGAGGGTGTTCCAAAAGTCTTAGTACATGGCACAGGGTAGACAGAATCGTGCACATACCCCAAAAGATGTCCATTCTGTGCACTGAGAGGACACAGAAAGTCATGATCAAACCTAGCAAAATATGTTTGCTTCTAATGAAAGAAGTGCAGTCCTGGTATAAGCGCCTTAGAATAAGCACTCAACATCAAGGTCGGTTTTGAACCTCAAGACCGGTGGTTCAAACTCATCAGTCACTCCTCAGAAACCCTATACGGGGCCATTATCAGTTGGAACTGACTTGAATACACTTAACAACAACAATGAAAGAAATAAGATTCTGTGGTGAAATAGCCAATTCCAGGACTGAGGCAGTGGAAATAAAGAATGCTCTGTAATTTATTCCATGAAGCAACTAAAAAAACCCCATGTGGCCAGAAAGTAGGAAGTGGTGTGGTAAGCTGTTGGGGTTGCAGGGAGGGTGGGTAGCATGAGAAGTGACAGGTTGGGGCTAGGTCACACACGCTCTCACAGTCACTGACTTTATCTAAGTGGAATGGGAAGCTACTGAAGAGATTTTTGTGAGGGAATTACTTGATCTGGTTTTATTTATAGGAGATCATACTGGTCGTCCCTCTTTTAGACCTAATAATGCAGCTCAGTTCTGCAGAGGTCGCTGAGCTGAACAAATCACATAAGAGCATGGACCCAAGGAATCTGCAAACCTATGTTCAAATCCCATTCTATCATTTATTAGCATGTGATGTGTAAAGTATTTAACATCAATGACCTCAGACTCTCTCTAATACAGAGGGAACTTACTATCCACCACCTATGATAGTTTTACATATCAAATGAAGAAAGCATGTAAAATGCTTCATCACAAAACCAACACACATATTTAGTGAATGTTTCAGCTATAACTATTCAACACTAATTAGGGGTCCACAACTCAGAAACAGGGTCCTCTTGGCGGTCACCATAAGCTGAGTCATGTTCAAAGTCAGTCAATACCAAGAAAGTTAGAATAAGACTGGTTCTTCTATCACGGTACTATGACATATGATCTTAATTCCCAGCATGCTTTTCTTCACTTTCTGCAAGTTTGTCTTCACTTTATATAATTTTTAAAGTTCTAGAATAAACCAAAGAGAAGCAATTTCTGCACTGTAGTATGAACCCTTACCTCAAATGCAGCACAGGATTTGACTGGGTAGAGGTAGAGGTTGGTGACAATGTGTGCTCCATGACCCCCAGCCAGGACTTCCTCAGAAGAAGTCTGCTGTCTTCTGTTGACCTCAGACACAGGTGGGCACAGTTCCACAACATTTGTGGTGGTGGAAAAGCCATTCCAAACTCCAGACTCCATGAGAGTGTCTTCCTGAGGCAAGAGACTGCATACATCTGTGACAGTTGGAACGTTCAGAGCGCTGTGCTCTGCTGATGGGGCTGCGGCCTCCCCAGCGAGGGTCTGAGGGAAGGACTGGCCACGTGATGAACACAATCGGGTTGTTATGATGAATCTGAGGAAGGCCTGGGCATCCTCCAGCGTAGACATGTATCCAAATGAAATCCTCACAGACCCTGTAGGTTGCCCATCTATGAGATCAACATTGTCTCCACAGATGTGACCAGCCTGGGATAAAAGGGAGATAAATCAGCTCAAGTGGCAAGCCCCGCTGTTTGGAGGTTACTATGGGAGTCAGGTACAGTGTCTATGTTGTTGTTGTTGTTGTTAAGTGTCATTGAGTCGTTTCCAACCCATAGTGACCCTGAACAGGGTTTCTGAGGCTGTAAATCTTTACGGGAGTGGAAAGTCTCACCTTTCTCCCATGGAGCAGCTGGTAGTTTCGAACTACTGACCTTGTGGTTCGCAGCCCAATTCATAACCACTGCACTATGTTCAGGAGCCCAATGTTCAGGAGCACTGAGCAGTCAGCTTCATAGACTACTATTATGGATTGAATTATACCCCCTAAAAATGTGTTATTAGAATCCTAACCCCTATATCCCTGGATATAATCCTACTTGGGAATAGGACCTACTTTGCTATGTTAATGAGACCATGTCATTATAGGGTGTGTTCTAGAAGCCTAACGACTTTTGAGATTTATAAAAAGAGCAGATTAGACAAACACAGAGAGAAGTCAGCCCAAAAGGAGGACAGACGTCTACCACATGGAGATCTCCAAGGAACTGAAGAACAGCAAGGCTAGAGAAGCTGAAAAGGAGGCTTTCCCCCAGAGCAGGCAGACTGACAGAACCTTCCTTCCCTGAGAGCCAGTGTCCTGAATCCTATGTCTAGCCTCCTGGTGTGGCACTGTAGGATAAACACTGGATCGCAAAGTTGGTTTGAATCACTGCTTGCTCCTTGGAAACTGTATACAGGATCTCTATAAGTCAGAACTAAGGAGTTCTGGTAGTGTAGTGGTTACGAGTCAGGCTGCTAATCTCAGTCAGCAATTTGAAACTACCAGCCATTCCAAAGGAGAAAGATGAGGCTTTCTGCTCCCATAAAGATATACAACCTCGGAAACCCTATACAGGGTCACTGTGAGTTAGAACCAACTCCACAGCACATAACCACCATGAGTTGGAACTGACTTGATGGCACTTAACAACAGCCTCCTGAACTATGAGAAAATAAAGTTCTGTTCTTTAAAACCATCTACTTGTGATATTTCTATCATAGCAGCACTAAGAAAATAAGCCAACTACCCAGGCACTGGGAGAAACAGCTTCTGGACATTCCCTGTAGCCGCTCTTAGAATACAGAAGGGAGGCCCACATTCCCTGAGAGCTGCCCCTTGACAAGAGGGCCAGACAGAGATACTGGCCCTTGAGTGACCAGCCCAAGGCCAACGTGCCCCTTTTTGGAAGGAAGGAGAGTGGCCAGTATGGTGGTTCAGGCTGCCTGGACCCCCCACCTCCCCCCAGTGCCGAGTCCAGACCAGTCACCAAGAAGATGGACCACGACATTCCAAAGGGTCCATTGTTATAGCTGAACCTGCACTTATTTATGCTCTGAGGCGCTTTCTCTTATTTTAAAAAATAAACTCCAGTTTGGGGCATAACACGGATTCCACATAGTATTTTTTGTTTTTGTTGTTAAATGTCATCGAGTTGGTTCTAACTCAAAGCAACCCTGTATAAGATTTCCAAGGAGTGGCTGGTGGGTTTGAACTGCCTACCTTGTGGTTAGCAGTCTAGTGTTTATCCTACAGCACTACAGTGGCAACTAAAATAAATTCAAGTTTAAAACTATTCAGAAATATATAATAAGATGGGTGAAAACAGTGTGTACTGATCTTCTACATGGAGTCCTGGTGTGGTGCTGTAGGATAAGCACTGGACCGCAAGGTCAATTTGAACTGTAAGGTGATGGTTCAAATGCACCAGCCGCTCCTCAGAAACCCTATACAGGGTCACTGGGAATTAGAACTAACTGGAGGGCACTTAAGAACATCAGCAACAATCTTTGACATGAGAATGGTTTTGTGTCTGCTACTACAATGTCCTTGGGAATTCTTTATCTATGAGTCAGAACCAACTCCACAACATTTAACAATAACAACTACAATACCCAGGTGATGGGAGACACTGGATGTTGTGCATTGAATTGTGTTCTCGCTGCCCCCTCTTGAAAAACAGTGTTTGCAACCTCAGTTGGATATGGGTTTTCTTTGTCAAGTTAATAATGGGAGTATTTGTGTAGGATGTGTCTTAAATGAATCTCTTTTAAAATTTAAAAGAGCATTATTAATCAAGCAGTAGAGACAAGGGAAGAAAAACACCAAGTCGCCTGAAGATGACAATGGACAAGAGGCACGGATTTCTCTCCAGCGCCTATAGAGGAACAAAGGGTTTCCCTACAGCAGGCATCCTGAATTCACACTTCTAACTCCTGAACTGTGAGAAAATATATTGCTGTATATTCATGTCAAAAAAAAACAAAACAAAACAAAAAACCCTAACTATTCAGAAATAAATGAGAGTTTTTTACTACTCAAACTATTAAGACACAAAAGAGGCTGACCCATGGAATGAAAAAGCTCAGGTCAGGGGGGAAATGGGGAAGGGGAGTCAGAGAGGCAGAGAGCTAGCTGCTGGGGCATCTCCAGTCCACACTAACCCAGTGGTACACTAGCTTCAGTTTAGAGATTCTGTCCGAACCCACTGTCACCTAGCCCATTCCAGTCTTAGATACCCCACAGGACAGAGTAACTGTTCCAGAGGGTTTCTGAGACTAAATCTTTACAGAAACTGGCACCCTCATCTTTCTCCTGAGGAGCAGCCCACTGCTTAACCAGCTGTGCCACCAGGGTTCCTCAGTAGGGCTGAGCTCATCAAGTGCCCGCTGCATGTACTCCCACAATCTTACATGCCCTTCATAACACTCCTCCTACGTTTAAGTCTTTGCTCCCAAAGGGAAAAAAAAAAAATTAATCCAAAAGTTCTATACAAGGGGAGCTTGAAATAGTTCATGGAAAAATACCATTGTCTTTCAATTGCATGAACTTTTGGAAGCCTCTCATATAGATAATATTTTGCAATGTTTTTCATTTTTGTTGGCTCCTTTGTTGTCGGTTGAGTGGTGGTCCCTCCAAAAGATAGGTCCACGACCTAATCCCCAGAACCAGTCAATGTGACCTTAATTGGAGATGGGATTTTTTTTTTTTTTTTACATGTACAATTAAGTTGAGGATTTTGAAATGAGCTTAAATCCTGGATTAACCAGGTAGGCTTTAAATCTAATAACAGGAATCCTTACAAGAGACTGTACAGGAGAAGACACACAGCCATGTGAAGAAGGATGCAGAGATTAAAGTTATGCATCCACAAGCCAAAAAGCCACCAGAAGCCAGGAGAGGATTTGCCCCAAGAGCACAGCTCTGCTGACACCTTGAACTTGGACTTCTGGCCTCTAGACGGGAGAGAGAATAAGTCTCTATTGTAAGTCACCTAGCATGTGGTACTTTTGTTGTGGCAGGCCTAGGAAATGAAGGCACCCTTTCATTTGTGCATACACACCAGGCTAACAGGAAGAAGCCCACAGAACCCTAGGCATGCAACCAGGTACCAGTTGCTATGATGTGGCACCATTGGGTTTGGGTCCCTGGTGCAGAACCAACCTGCAGATGCTTCTTGACCATCTCATCGCTTATCCCGAGGTGTCTCTGGCAAGCTCCAGTGTTACAGAAGCAGCCAGTTCGCACTTGGATGTTGTAAAGACTGGCCATTTTATCCACCTGCAAATTGAATATGATAGAAAATCTGTGTGAGAAATAATCTACTTTTACTCTGAGTGCCTGCCAAGATTTTAGACCAGAATTTGGATCTTTGTTTCCTAAAATTAAATGAAAATATGAGCTTGGTATTTTGCTCTAAAATGGCATGATGTATCAGGAGTTTATTAAATGTAATTTATAAAATGTTACTGAGAAATATATACATATACAGTAATTTTATGTAAATAATGTATGAGTCACATGGTTTTTATACCATGCATCATTACTTTCGTAAACACATCATACCAATTGAGGCCATGATAGATACATGTATCCCACCCTGCTGTCCAGCTACCACATCATTTCAATGTCCTGCTTGAATGGATGTGGTGGGCACAGAGGGATCACATATCCCTTGCTCTGATGAAACAGGTCCATCTGGCTACCAGGGACCCCATGTGGCTGGAACAGTGCGTGCCCACACCCTCATCATCCTGCCTACTAGCCTCACATGGAGCCGGCACCACAGAACCTACCACGGGACCAGTTCAGGCTGTGGCCACCCCGCTGACATCCCTCACCCAGCCCTCCACTTGTCTGTAGTGATGTAGCTGGGTGTAGAGTGGCCACAAGGCCCAGATGTGAACTGCCCCAGAGCAAATACACAGCTTCAATTGCTATTTTTCTATTACTGAGATACTACCAAACTCATTCCATGACTGCTTGACCACGGCTTTTACCTTTATTATACAACTATGACTAAAAGTAACATTTTTGGACTATTGAATGAGGTCGAAATTCACTTCTGGAAATGTCACGAGGCATGCACAACATATGCATGGGTGCACTACACCAGAACTTTTTAACAAAACTTCATGATTTCCACCCACTGTATGTGTATGGTGTTACTTATATGGAGGAACTAACTATTAGTGAAAAATACTGGGTATGTATAATTTTTATCCACTTTGATTATACATGTATGTTTGAGAAAAGTGAAAATACCAAATTCAGCTTCAGCCCAAATTCCAAGTTAAGAGTCCACATGTTGCAAGGACAAATTTTAGTGGTCTGGGGACCTGGGGCAGCTTCATGGCATCCAATACCACGGAGCTTTGATCAGCAGAGCATCACCAGCCGCAGCTCATAGGCTGGAATGTGAGGAGACTTCGAAACAATGGTGGGAAAACTCCATTATCTTTTCATTCAATTTTGCCATGAACTTTCTGAAGCCCCCTCATACCAAGTGTTATTGGTGTTGATGCTCTGTTACAGCTTTGCTTTTCAAGATTTCCTAAGGTGGTGCTGAACTGCAGAACTGCGGTTCCATTCAGAAGTTCCAAAGCTTCTTACTGCCCTCTGGAGGCTGTGTGCTTTCTTTGCAACGGCTCAGAGCTCAGGAGCTCAGGGTACCAAAGGATGCTAGCCCCAGTTCCTCTGGCTGTGGGACAAGGACTCTATTTCCCAAGGGGCTGGTGGCTCCGGCTAAACTCAGGGGGAAGCGACACCGCAGAAGAAAGGCCGAGAGATCTACTTCCTAATAATCAGCCATTGGAACCTTCATGGAGCACAACTCTATTGTGATACACATGGGGACCCAGCAGGATCAGCTGAGTGGCAGCTGGTAGGCTGAGTTAAGAGAGCTCAAAAATTAACTTGCCATGTGTGTGATAACTCTGTAAATGACAGTACAGAGGCTGTGGGTAAGGGGCTCCAGAGTGCTTCCTCCCAGGTACCTCAAGAGCCTAGGGTCTTACTGTGCACCTCAAGGCTGGGTAAGGCTTTGGGGGTCCAGGTGAGACCAATTCTGTTGTAGACAGATCAGCAAGATGAAAAGAAACCCACCTGGGAGTAACCAATAATGTCCCCCTGCTCATCCAGCACGTTGAAGTTGATGACTGGACCCTGAATATCGGGGCTGCAGAACTCAGAGTCACTGTAAATCCTCACCACAGGGGCTCCATTGGGGTACTGGAGAGAGGACAGGGCAGCGTAGGTGTACTTCGCCAAGGTAAAGGTGTGTTGCTTTATATTCTCCATCCCACCTCAGAAATAATTATGAACTGTTACAATAAAATCATGGACTTTACATACGAAAAAAAAGGAGAACATTAGAACAAGCAAAACTGGGCCTCAGTAACACCAGTGCCCTCACATAAATGTCCAGGTCTTTGGTACTGAACAGTATTGTTACTGCTGTTGAATTATTTCTTATAAACTCTTGCCACTCTCTGTTTTTATATAATGTTACCTCCTGGTGTGGGACTGTAAGACTAAGCACTGGACTGCTAACTATAAGGTTGGAGGTTCGAACCCACTCCTCAGAAATCCCATACAGGGTTGCTATGAGTCAGAACTGACTTGACAGCACTTTAACAATAAGCATTCCCACCACCTGTCTGTCAGTTTGCCGCACTGTGGTGGCTTGCGTGTTGCTGGGATACTGGAAGTACGTCACTCGTATTTTAAAAACCAGCAAGGTCACCATGGTGAAAAGGTTTCAGTAAAGCTTTGAGGCTAAGACAAGGAAGAAGGCGAGGCAGACTATTTCTGGATGTTTGCCCACTGAAAACCTTCTGAGCAGCAACACAACATCACCAGATCCATTGTTGAAAATGAAAACCTTATGGAGAGCAGCAGAACATTGTCAGATATAGCGCCAGAAGAGAAACCCCTCAGGTTGGAAGGCACACAAAATATGACTGGGGAGGAGTTGCCTCCTCAAAGTTGAGTATCCATAATGACCTGAAGCAAAGTTTTGGGAACCTTCATTTGCTGATGGGCACAACTCAAAATGAAGAGAAACAGCTGCGAACATCTATTAATGATTGGGAACATGGAATGGATGAAGAATGAATCTATAAAAATTGGAAGTTGGCCAAAATGAAATGGAACGCATAAAGATTGATATCCTGGGCATTGTTGTTGTTATTAAGTGCCAGTAAATAGGTTCCAACTCAGAGCAACCCTGTATAGGGTTTCCGAGGAGTGGCTGATGAGCTTGAATGGCAGACCTTGTGGTTCAAACCGACTTTGCAATCCAGTACATTAACCCACATCAGCACACCAGGATTAGGGAAATGAAATGGATTGTTGTTGTTAAGCGCCAGTGAGTCAATTCTAACCCTATATAGGGTTTCTGAGGAGCAACTGGTGAGCTTGAACCACCAACCTTGCAGTTCAAACGGCTTCGCATTCTGGTGCATAAACCCACAGTGCTACATCAGGCAATAGATTAGCCCTAACCATTTTGAATCAGATAATCAATCATATGGTTTACTATGCCAAGAATGACAAAATTCAAGAGGAATGACATCGCATTCATCGTTAAGAAGAACATTTCAAGATGTATCTTGAAGTAGTACAATGCTGTCTGTGATAATATCTCTAGTCTGCAAAGAAGACCACAATACCACAACTACTAAATTTACGTACCAATTACTAAAGCCAGTGACGATGAAATTAAAGAATTCCACCAAATTCTTCAGTCTGTAATTGATCAAACATGCAATCAAGATATATTGATAATTACTGGTGATTGGAATGCAAAGGTTGGAAATAAAGAGGAAGAATCAGTAGTTGGAAAATATGGCCTTGGTGACAGACATTATGCTAGAGATCACATGATAGAATTTTGCAAGATCAATGATTTCTTCATTGCAAACACCTTTTAAACATCATAAAATGTGACTCTACACATGGATGGGAGTTCTAGTGTGGTGCTGTGGGTTAATGTGCTGGACTGCAAAGTGGTTCAAGATCACCAGTCGCTCCTTAGAAACCCTATGCAGGGTCGCTATCAGTCAGAACTGACTCTATGGCACTTAACAACAACAGCAACAATACACATGGGTATCACCAGATGAAATACACAGGAATCAAACTGACCACAGCAGTGGAGATCTGAGGGTTTAAATCCCAGCCCACTGGCTGCCAGCAACCTGGGGAAGGCACTTAACCTCTCTGTGTTTGAGCTTTTTCAGGGGCAAAGCGGACTCAACACACAGCTCCTGGGGAAGGGGATCCACAGGGAAAGAGAAGGGCTGGTGAGCTCCTGCTGTGGACTCTCACCTATAAACAAACATTTTAAAACCACCTCAGCCCCTTGCTCTCAGAAGTCATTTTGAAATTATTAGAATCCGATTCAAGTGCATCTCATGTCCAGTCACTTCCCCAGGTCCCTCTAGCTCATTTGAATCAGTGCTAGGCCACTGCTCCTTCAAGAATCCGGGCAACAGAGTAAATCCCAGGCAGATGGAAGTGTCACTGACCTGTGAGGCGGTCCAGGGCATCAAATCCATGTTTCAGTGCGATCACATCAAGGAAGGAGATGGTGCCATCTTCAAACCTGTAACGTGGTAAGTGGGCCTTTTATGATATACAATGGGATCTGGGGGAGCATGGTGGCTGTGCAGGATAAGCACTGGACTGCTAACCACAGGTTGGCAATTCAAGCCCACCAGCCACCCTGTGGGAGAAAGATGAGGCTTTCTGTTCCCATAAAGATTTACAGCCTCAGAAGCCCTGTACAAGGTCACTATGAGACGGAACCGACTCAACTGCAGCAGCAATGGGATTTTGATTTTCAGGGAAATCACAATCTATCCCTTCCCTCTGCTCTCCCCCTCACTCCAATATCCATCTGGCTGCCTCAGCCCTAACCGACTGCTTCAAGCCTCCTAGGAGAGGCTAGAAGTGGTGATGTTGTTGTTGTTGTTAGTTGTTGCTAGTTGCTGAGTGCATTCTGATTCATGACAACCCATATTTGCAGAGTAGATTTTCAAGCCTGTTGTTGTTAAGTGCCATAGCGTCAGTTCCAACCCATAGCCACCCTGTATAAGGGTTTCCAAGGAGCTTAAGCCACCGACCTTGAGGTTCAAATGACTTTCAAGTTCAGTGCATTAACACACCAGCAGCATACCAGGACTCCTTCAAGCCTGTGGCCCTTAGGGAAAAAACGGTCACTTGAAATACTAAAGAGAGCCAAGGAATTGTTTGCTGCTTCAGGAAGACTTTGTTGTTAAGTACCATCAAGTTGTTTCTTACTCATAATGACCCTGTGTACAACAGAACAAAACACTGTCCAGTCCTGTGTGATCTTCACAATCATTGCTGTATCTCAGTCCCTTGTTGTAGTCACTTTGGGCTTGACAAAAATCTTAGGATCTTGCAATGATCCTCATTGACCACAAGAGGGCACTGCTGATAGGGCATCAATTTAGTGATTAAACCCTGCAGCTCTGAGGTCTGTAACAAGAGAGTGTCAAAGTCCATGAAACTGTGGCCTTTGGAAAAAATTACACAGCTCTCACTAACATAGCAGGTGCATGCCTTCCTGATTGTCAAAGTATTCATTATGTTTGCATTTTATAGTTATTCATTTCATCAAAATCAATAAAGATCTCATACTGTGTGGGATTTATGGAACACTCAGACCTGCCCTTTCATGTTAGGCAAATTTGGTCTCACTTTGACATGATTACACCAATGGCTATTAGCAACAAATTCATTGCAACCACCTCAACTTGCTGCACTCAGAGCTTTTAAATCACTGAAAAGACTGAGTTTTTTCTTGTACTAAACCCAAGCCCACTGTCACTGAGTCAATTCTGATTCTTAGGGCCCCTTATAGAGTCTCCTAGGCTGTACATCTTCACGGGAGCAGAAAGCCTTACCATGCTCCTGCAGAGCGGCTATTGGGCTTGAACTGCTGACCAAGCAGTTAGCAGTCCACTATCCTACAGCACCACCAGGTCTCCTTTCTTGCCCTGACTGAAGTAAGGTTAAATAAAAACCATATACACCTGTTCTGACTTACCTACAAATCCAAATTAAAGATTTACTTAAGATCTGATCTTGTTTGTATCCTGGGGACTGCCTGAACTCTGAATCAGAATCTACATTTTAACAAGATACTCAGGTAATTTGCATCGATCACCTGGAGATCTTGTTATACTGTAGATTCTGATTCAATTTATATGTAGTGGAAATGCAAATTCACAGCAAGGACTCTAATGAGAAGGAACCAATTCGAAGTCCTGCAAAGAAACAAGAGACAGACATACAGAAAGCCCATTAATAACGTGCCAGGTGGTGGTGGTGCACTCAGGAGGAATAGAAGGGGTGGCAGCTGCTTAGACAAGATTTCTGCTCAGTGAACAGAGACCCGGTAGAAGTAAGGAAGAGGGCGGGTGGATGTGTGAGAGAAACAGCATCCAGAGAGGGTGAGCAGAGATGCTGACCCCACTGGAGAGCTGCTGGGAACAGGGCAGAGCGACAAGGCGTAAGGTGGGAGGAGGTGGGTCTGAGGAGCAGAGGACTGCACAGTCCCATCAAGAAGGACCTTGCTGACACAGCAGGACCTTTGGTGCCTGCTCTGAATGAGATGAGAAGCAGCCTGAGAACTCTGAGCAAGAGGATGACAAGATGGGACCCAGGATCTAACAAGACCCCACTGACTGCTGGGAAAGAGCAGACTGCAGGGATGAGCGAGCCAAGGCTGCAGCGAGCAAGCAAGTGACGGAGGGGCCACAACAGTAGCCACAGCAGGCTGAAAATTCCAACAGGAAGATGGTGCTTTTGTTTTAAGATTCTAAGAATAGAATTAACTCCAAGCATTGTAACTGCAAATGTTTTAAGACTAATGTTAATTAATAGACATGGAATCAATGAATAGTGAATCAGTTCTACAGTGATCTACCAATTACTAAGTTAAACATTACCTAATAATGACTTGTATTATTAATTGATCAATAATAACTATTTATTCATCAAGAATTAATTGGTAGGCTCTTTCTTAGAATAAAAAGGGAGGGGCTTTTGTTGTTATTTCTATCAAGAGTTGTATCTCACTGGGTTATAAAAAAACAAAAGGTTAAAAACCTGGTCCAGGATATGTGCAATAAACCTTTGGGTTGGGTAATAAAGCTTCTTATTTATTACCTAAGTTCTGGTCCTAAGTTCTGGTCCTAAGTTCACAAGACAAAAACTAGGCTCATAATAGTGAATGAATGTATGCCATTTGGTGGGGATCCTGATATGGTACCTGTGAAAGGTAATCAACGTTCAATCAAAGGAAGGAGGCCAGGCCTCCCTCTGTACCCTGCCCATCCCCACCTCACCCCTGCCGGCCCGCTAATGAGCTGCCCCACTTCTATCAGTTTCTGGTGCCCTGTTGGCCAAATTACTTTGAGGTGAAATTTTATCCTGCTTTCCATTTATATTATATTGTACTTGTCATCCTTTTACTCACTTTGTTTTATTACATGCTAAATCATCACCCTTGGGTTTAAAAGTCTTCCTGCTTAGAACCCTTCCCACTCTGGAGAGTCCTAAATAAGAGACATCAAAAAGCCTCACAACATGTACTGAATGCCTACTCTCTCCTGGCCCTAGGTTAGCGTTAAAAGGATGGCATCATTATCCCCATGTGACAGGAAAGGACAATAAGGTGCAGAGAAGCCAAATCACAGGTCCCTGTCCCCACAGCTGGTTTGTGTTGGAGCCAGGGTTCACCCCAAAGGTCCAGCTCTAGGCCTGCACTGTATACCACAATCAGCAGGGCCCTTGAATCTGTGTGTGGAGGGGGTCCCTTATGCCCTGGGCCCTTTTCAGCCATCATCAGGGTGATAAACTCCCAGTCCCAGCCTCTGGGAAGCGCTGGAGAACAGTAAGTGCACACGGGCCTGCCCTCACACTTGCTCTGGAACTCAAAGTGGGGCTCACACAGGTGGTTTTATTCATGGTCTCAGTTGTCAAGGAGCAGCTAGGGGCCGGCAAAGAGACTATGCATCAACTGACATGGACATGCACATCAGGAGGGGCATTCTTTTGAAACCACTGCTTTACTTGCTGGCACCCTATACAGACAGGCTCACTATGATTCCTAATTGACTGGATGGCACTTAACAACACAACAATCTCTTGTCTGTGGTGTGGGACAAAAGCCTGGAGGCCCACCCTCCTCACAGCTGTGAAGGACTTTCACCTCTCCTGCTAACAGTAGGTCCTGTTTCTCCACAACCAGGGAGACGCCCAGGAGTGAGCAGAGTTCACCCCACTTTCTTCATGCTGCAGGGTCCTCGGCTTCTCAGAACTGACCAGACACTGGCCTCTGTCTTTGCCAGCAATGCTCCACTCCCTGATCCCCTTGACTCAGACTTGCCCCTTACCCTTCCATCATCATGGAGTTACCTTTCAGCCACCGACTGTCTCGGGACGTAGAAGTCTTCACCTGCAAGGTATCCAGCGGCTGTGCCTCCTCCAAAGTAGGATTTCCTCAGCAGAGGCGCCACATGATTATTCACCAGCAGAGCCCCTAAGCCGGTGGGGAATCCAAAGATCTTATAAAAGGAGACGGAGACAAAGTCAGCCTGGTGCACAGACAGGTCCAAAGGCGATGTGCTCACGTAGGAGGCCGCGTCGAGCAGCACAAACCACTTCCCAGGAGCATCCACAGGGCACATCCGCCCAGATTTGATTCCTTCTATCCAACAAAGTGGGTATCTGGTTCCGGAAAAGTTACTCTGAGCTGGGTAGCAGAAGAGATGGAGGGCCTGGCCATCAGAGCCGTGGGCAGCAGCACCCCGAGTCTCCACTAGCTGCAGATCCTCTGGTCTGACGGGGATGGAAGTGACCTTCATGGCTCTGGTAACCTCCCTCATGCCCACCACGGAGGTGTGGTTGTCGGTAAGGTAGCAGAACCGGCTCCCGGTGTTCTCGGGGCTCTGGGGCTCCCATGGAAAGGCCTCGGCCACCAGCTTCAGAGCAGCTGTGCTCCCAGAGGTGAAAATCACACTGTAGTCATCTGGAGAGGTGTGGAAGTGTGCCAGGACCCTGGAGGAAGAACGGCACCATGGACAACGCTGGCTCTCATTCTTGGGTTTAATGTTTGGAGGTAGCTTTATATGATCTCGCTACCTGGGATAATGCACTGGACTGCAAGGTTGGTGGTTCAAATGCACCAGCTACTCCTCAGAAACCCTACACAGGGTCGCTGAGTTGGAACCACTCAATGGCACTTAACAACAATCACCTTAAGAAAAATCATAATAAATACTTAATAAAAAACTCATGGTGACCCCATATGTTACTGAGTAGAACTGCATGCCTTAGGGTTTGCTTGGGTGTAATATTTATGGAAGCAGATCTCCAGGACTTTTTCCAAAGCACATTTGTTGTTGTTATGTGATGTAGAGTTGGTTCCGACTCATAGAGACCCTGTACAGGGTTTCCGAGGGCTGTAAATCTTTATAGTTGCAGAAAGCCTCATCTTTCTCCCATGGAACAGCTGATAATTTCAAACTGCTGAACTGAAGGTTCGCAGCCCAATTTGTAACCACTACGCTACCAGAGCTCCTTGGGTGGGCTCAAACCACCAACTATTTGTACCACCCAGGGATCCTTCTCTACATTAATAGCTTGAAGAAACAAATCTGATAGGTTTTGCCACGAATGCGAAGTTAGAGTTGGACACAGGAAGGGGAGAATGACAAATGGATGCCAAATTGGCAAGATTACCTTGTCACCCAAATCTCCACCTTCATTTGGAAGTGACAAAAATCCATAGCTTCCTTAACCTTAGTATAAAACACCCAGCTCTATTATAACAAGTATAAAGTCTTCAGGCTGTTTCCCACTGGTTTTATTTTAATTTTAAATTTGGTAAAGGAATTTCATTATTTAGTTTAGGTAAGTCTTTGCATTCTACTAACAGAAAAGCATTTCTATTATTCTAACTGACAAATTATGTACTTTGAATTTTATCTGCATGGCTACAGTATTAACTATTGAAGAAAATTCACATTGTTTTTAATTCAGATAACTCTGTAGCTAAACGGAGTCACTTTCAAATTGGTAATAGTTTGAAACTGTATTGATTCAAATAACTTTAGTTACTATCTGGAAATCATTTGCTGAGAAGTTATTAGAGCATATAGAAAATTGTAAAGAGCTGTTTAACCCCCAAATACTAGTAGGAAGGAAAAAAGACATGAAAACAAGACAGGATGCCTAGTGAACCATCTTATGGAAAAACAAAAGTAAGAAAAGTTGTTTTTCTTCTTTCGGAAAATGAGACTTCAAAAGCTAGGGCCCTCTGTCACCCTGTTCCCAGAAACTCTGGCCTCAATCCAGAAGCACCCAGAAGAACACTACCTACAGAGCCGCCCACCTATTCTTTTGTCTTCCTGCTCTGCACCTGCTCACTCTCACCTTCCTAGCCTCCTGAGCTGCTAGTGATTTTCCTGAAACTGATTCAGAACCTTTGTGGAACACATGCAGGTGAGAGGAAGAGAGGAATGAAGTCCGTCCACACAGGAGTGCTGGCTGGTATCAGTTGGCATCCCTGTCTCTCACCTGTAGCGCACCTGGTCCACAGTGTCAAGGGTGAGCTTGCTGCTGATGTTCTGGCTGTGAGGGTTACCTGGAAGGTTACAAAGAAAGCACTGTCAAGTCACTACTTATGGTCTCTTCATTCGTGTTTCTTCAGAAACTTTTTCATCCATTTCTCTAAAAGTCAATCACAATGAAAAACAAAACAAGACATTTAACAATCTACCATATGACCCAAAAATTTCACTCCTAAAGAAATGAAAGGGGAGCGTTGGTGGCACTGTAGGATACGTCCTGGACTGCTAACCACAAGGGCAACTGTCTAAACCCACTGGCTGCTCTATAGGAGAAAGATGAAGCTTTCTGTTCCCATGAAGACATCCAGCCTTGGAAGCCCTATACACAGTCACTATGAGTCAGAACCAACTCAACGGCATTAACAACAAAGAAATGAAAATATATGTCCACACACAAATATTCAGAGAAGTATTATTCACAATAGTCAAACTCTGGAAACAACTTAAATGTTCATTAATTGGTGAATAAATAGAAAATACAGTCGTTCCATACAATAGATTATTACTTAGTAATAAAAAGGAACAAACTACTGACACATACTGTGTCATGGATGTAACTGTTGTTTTTGTTAGGTGTGGCGGAGTTGGCTCCAACTCATGGTGATTCTGTATACAGTTTCTAAGGAGTGGCTGGTGGGTTTAAAACTCCAGCCTTGTAGATAGCAGTCCAATGTTTATCTGACAGCACCACACAACTTCAAAAAATGTATGTTAAGTGCAATAAGGCAGACATAAGCCACTACTTTTTGTATGGTTCCATTTATAAGAAAGTCCAGAAAAGGCAATTGTACAGTGACAGAAAATAAGATGGAGATTCACTGTGAATGGGCCTGAGGGGTCTTACTTGGGGAATGAAAATGTTCTAAGTGCTTTATGGCAATGTTTGCAGCACTCAGTAAAGTGACTAAAAAAAAAAAAAAATCACTGAATTGTACATCTGAAATAACTCAATTTTATTATACCTAAAATATAACTCAAACAATTAGGAAAAAAACAACCAGAAAAAACACTTCCCTTCATTGGGGTCTAGGAATGAGGCTATTAGAGCTGGGGGTCAGCTCAGAGGCAGCCAAGCCAGCACAAGTAACTTTGCTTCAAGTTCCTCAGCAGGTACCAGTGGTCACTAACTCCAGAGAAGTCAGTCCACAACCTCAGGAGGCTGCCCTGTCCTCCAACTATGAGACAGAACTTGAGCACTACTCAATCTGAGTCCCCACTACTGCTCCTCGTCTGTTCCTGAAAAACACACCTTCACATCTGTGAAGGGGACCCTCAGGTCTTCCCTTAGCCCCCACTCCCAAGGCTACCCCTTTGGCACTGAGTCTATCCCAGCTCATGGACACCCCATGGCTGTAATCTCTGTGGAAGCAGGTCACCAGGCCGTAAGTCCATGGCACCACTTCCATGGACTCTTCAAGTTCGTAGGCCAGCACTTAACCACTTGTGCCACTCAGGGACCTCTCACAAGTCTATGGTCTCCCAATTTCAGTGGTCTCTGTTGATTTCTAGTTGTGCAATCCTCATGTCCCCTCTGAATGTGACCCAGAGTTCGATCACCTCCGTTAAACCCAGGCCTGAGACATGAGGACAGAACCGTCGCAGGTTCTGACCTGCAGGCGCTGGGCCCCCGTACTTCTCAGGAGCAGGACTACATGCACAAGTTCAGACTGGGCCTTTCTTGTTTTCAATATTTTCCCCGCAAATATACTATACTGCTGGATTTCTGATCACTGAAGCTACAGCTGTCCCTTGTCCTCACCCCCTGTACACTTTCTTGTTGCCTTTCATCCCCTTGGTTCTTAGACCTGCACCACTATAGCCGCCTGCAATCTCGCAGGCTGGCACCTTTTCCATGGTGAGGATTCTTATAAACCCTAAAGGAGAATTGCAGGTCTCTAGGAAAACCATGGATTAAATTAAGATCAGATAAAGTCCTTATTGGCATTTTCCCTGAAGACTCTTCCCCAGATTTTAAACATCTGCTGACTGTACAGAGCCGCTAAGATCCAATCCCCTTTGTGTAGCATAACAGGATTGTCTAGAATCAAGGCGGTCTGACTGGGGCTAAGGGCTTGCATGCTGAAGCCATGCTGCCTGGAGAGGAATCCCTTAGACAGTAGGTCACTAGAGGGTTGTGGGGTTGGGAGTGTGGACTGTATGTACCAATGACACAAAATGACTGTCTATAAAATTTTTATGCAGAAATGTATTGTTTCTAAAACTCCCTGTGGTTTGTTATAATGATCAAAACAGTTTTCATAAGCCCAGCTTGTATGCATCAATATTCGTACAATGCTAAGTCTATGCCAATGTACTTTTTAAAACTTTTTAATGGGCTGTGGTCACAAGTGTCATTTTACCCAATCACACCGACAATTCCTATCATTTGGTTTCATCTGCATACATGGCTATTCTTGTTGCTACCAGTGTCTTTATAGTCAGTGGTTTTGTCAAATTTTCTGGCATTTTAGTTACAATATCATGGTAATTCGTATTTATGAGCCTATATCAATAACTCTTCTGAAAATGCAATATTAATTAATGGAAAAGAAGGCCAAAAACATCAATAAAGTCTTCTTCTTAGTTACTAATAATGTTGTGCTTCAATGTAGAAAGACTTTCAAAAGCCATTTTGCTGTTAGTATTCATCTAATCTAAGAAACATTACTTTTTTTTTTTTTTTTGAATTTTTTTTTTTCTTAAATGTTTTATTGTGAATTATGTGATAGTTTACATGGGAGAACATTAGTTTTACATTCATTCTATCATATAACGTCTCATTACGTCTCATTACCATGGTTACAATCCCTCCATGCATCATCAACCAACCAAAGGGTATACCCTGCAATCCTTTCCCCGTAACCCCCAGGTCTTCAGCACACAGTCGCTCTCCCTCTCTGGATCTAAAGTCTCCAGCTGCTCCATCGCTCCATGTCATCATCTCTGCCTCCATTTCAGGTGTCACTGCTTCTCTGGGTAGGGTCCCGCTCTCTGCTCTTCTCCCTTGATGGTCCTAGGGACCTCCACTCCTAGACTGAAAAGTTAATCACTCCCCTTCTTGCTATAAAACGTCTACCTTTACATTTCCAACCCTCACAATCAGTCCTGATAACAATTATTCACTATTGTATCACAAAAGACCCGTCTGCATTTCATTGCATCAGCCCCGCCTAGATAGATTGATTACTACTCACTGGAGATTCTACCTTCCTCCAGGCCCTCTGGATCTAGGGTCCCTCTTGAAAGCTTGTAAGCCAGTCACTTCTTGCCTTTGTAGCCCCCCACCCCCCATTTTGAGTAGCCAATGTCCAAGCTGCCCATCCCTGTCTACTCTGTGTGTGGGAATGATTCTTGCTGTTAGGACTTGTTCCCTCTTTTGAGCTACTGCTTCCATAGGTGTAGGTCAAGTTCATCAAATTGTATGAGAATACTTTTTTTTTTCTCTTCTTTTTACTTCTGGTTGAGCTCTGATCATCTAGTCACTGAAGCCAGGATAAGTGGATATTATCTGCAAGTGTGGGTGTTCTTATGCATATGCCCTCTCTTCTTATCAGCTGGACGCTTCACTCTCCACTCTAGTCCTCTGTGGCTATGTCACTGACTCTGGGCCCAAGAGTCCCCAGGTCTTGCCACACTGCTGACCAACCTGGTTCACAGGAGTCTATTGAACATTGTAGGGCTTAGCTTAAAGCTTCATTGTTATTTACCTCTCACTTCCCCTTATCGGTGACGAGTGAGGTCACCAATCAGAGCATGTATTCATATTAAGTCTTAGTCTTGGAAGGGGGTTTACACTGAGGGGACCCGACCACTTGCCTTGATGTCTCCTGGGTAAGCAACTTGCTTGTTCTTGTAGTAACAGTCGGTCTGCCTATGTTGATTTGTATTTTTCCTGTAGGTCTTTTCCAGGTGTCCATGAGTGGGTTTAAACTGCCAACCTTTGAGCATTTAGCCATTTTTGCAACTCAGAGACTCCACCCACAAACCATGGTGGCTCAAAAACTATTTGTGAGTGAACGCTCTTCCAGCCCTCCTGCTGGGTCAACGTCCCCAAATGCTTCACCCTACACCTCTGTGCCCCTCCTCACAGTGACTCTATTCTGGCAGTAGCCTGTGTGTCCCCAGGCAGTTCTTCCTGTCTCAGCAGCCTGTGTGAGACTGAGGGATCCCTGGGTACCTGTCAGTTCTCCTCCAACATGGGGTTTACATAGCTTTGTGGGCTCAGGCTAGTCCCAGACTATTTATTAAACACTATATCATTTACTAAATGAATCTAGCTAACTAATAAGACTCAGTGCAGAATTTCATTCTGGTGTGTTCTACCGTACCATAAACGTTTTTCAGGAGATCATCTGTGAAGCTTGTGAGCTGGCTCTGGGGGAACACCGTGGCTCCCGCATGATCGAGGTAAACTGTTCCTGAAAGAAAACAAGTAAAAATCATGGGTTATTTTTCATAGGCACCCTTGTTATTGGACCTCAATCTATTTTCTGTGAACCTGCCCAGTACCCATCTGATGCATTTAGACATAAAGAAACTGCAAAAATATGAAGAACCAGCTATTGGTCTCCCCATGTATAGAAGAAAGAAGAATGATAGGAATTGGACTTATGAACTAATTGAACATGTGAACGTCAACCAGAAGATGCCTGGCTAACACTACCAACTGCTCTAAAAGAGATCACAGTAGAAGATCCTAGATAGAGTAGGAGAAAATGTACAACAAAATGCAAAATCATTTAATTTAAAAATAAAGGACCGGGTTTACTGGTCAGAAAGAGACTGGAGTAACCTGAGACTATGGCCCTCGACCACCCTTCAGGTCTGGAAAGTATCTAGACTGAATCCCAGCCATCCTGTATCCCTATCTCTCCATCTACAAAAGGGATGAAGTTCAAGTGTGTTGGTAAGTAACAGAATCCAACCCTGCGCCTAGCACATAGGAAATATTCCACAGGGTTTGGAAACTATAAGAAGCAGGCAAATGACCTTCAAGGTCTTCTTTAAGAAAGGGAATTCCAGGGTCTCTTCTGGGTAATTCCCCTCCAGTTCTCAGTTCCAAGCAAAGAAACTGGCCATCAATCAGAATTCCAACACTTTAAGAACCACTTGATCCCATTCCGATGATGGCTCAGCAAAACATTTCAGCACTTAACGGTTAAGTAAGCATTTAATTATCCAGAACTACCTTAACCAGGCAACCTCTCAAACCTGCAGAAAACTTAGGGTGGGGTGAGACTCTTTTATTCAGCAGAGGAGATGGCTGTCGGCCAGGGCTCAAGATACATAGTTTCAGTGAGGGGCTCAATCGTAGCCACTTGACTTATTTTGTGGACACCACTCCCCAAGCAGGACAGAAGCAGTGAGCACCAGGAACACAGAACTCATTCTCTTCAGGCTTTTGGGTGCTGCTCTGAGCAGCACACTTTACACCAGAAAGTGGGCAGGCATGATGGGGGGAAAACAAAACAAGAAGAAAGTGCAAGGAGGTACTAGAAGATGAGGTACAGGAATATGTGGTGGAAGAGTTGTTGTTAAGTGCTGTTGAGTCTATTTCGACCCATAGCAATCCTGCATAGGGTTTTCAAGGCTGTAAATCTTTACGGGAGCAGAAAGCCTCATCTCTCTCCTGCGAACCGCTGGTAGTTTCAAATTGCTGACCTTGAGATTATCAGCCCAATTCGTAGCAATTACTCAACCAGAGTTGTTGTTGTTAGGTGCCATTTAGTCAGTACCGACTCATAGCGACCCTATAAACAACAGAACAAAACACTGTCCAATCCTGGACCAACCTCAACTATTGTTGCCACACTTGAGTCCATCGATGCGGCCACTTTGCCAATCCATCTCGCTAGGGGTTTTCCTCTTTTTCTCTGACCCTCCACCTTACCAAACATGATATTCTTCTCCAGTACCTGGTCCCTCCGACAGTATGTCCAAAGCATGAGAGATGAAGTTTGGCCATCCTGGCTTCCAAGGAGAATTCTGGCTGCACTTCTTCCAACACAGATCTGTTAGTTCTTTTGGCAGCCCATGGCACTTTCAATATTCTCCTCCAACACCATAACTCAAAGGCATCAATTCTTCTACCGTCTTCCTTATTCACTGTTCTGCTTTCGCATGTATATGAGATTATTGAAAATATCATGGCTTGAGTCAGGTGCACCTTAGTCCTCAAGCTAACATCTTTGCTCTTCAACACTTTAAAAAAGTCTTGTGCAGCAGATTTGCCTAATGCAATACGTCGTTTGATTTCTTGACTGCTGCTTCCATGAGTGTTGATAGTTGATACAAGAAGAATGAAATCCTTGACAACTTCAATCTTTTCTCTGTTGATAAGAATGCTGTTCATTGGTCCAGTGGTGAGGATTTTTTGTTTTCTTTACATTGTTGGTTGAGTTTTTGTTGTTGTTGTTAAGTGCTGTAGAGTCGATTACGACCCATAGCAACCCTGTACAGGGTTTCCAAGGAGCAGCTGGTGAGCTTGAACTGCCGACCTTGCAGTTCAAACGGCTTTGCAGTCTGGCACATTAGCCCACAGTGCCACACCAGGACTCCTGTTGGTTGAGTAGTAAAGGGTAAATCAAAGTGCAGTCTGCCTTAAATGGGAGGGTTTCTCAGTAGACAACATGTGGGAGCCAGAAGAGAACCTGGATTGCCCATACCTCATTGCTGAGCTTACAGTCACAGATAATAGATAAATCAAAGAATAGAAAGTACAAAGCTGGTTTTGATGCTGAAGACAAGGGAGAGGAAAGTAAACCAAAAAAAAGGAAAAAAGCCATAAGAAAAGCCAAGAAACTCATCCTGGGTTTTGGAGTCAGAGCAGACTTTTGGAGCTATAGACTTCAGTGGAGAGTTCATTTTCCTTATGAAATGCAAAATCTCTGATGAGGCTGACCTGGTTCCTGACAAGAAAACCAATGTCAAGGGTCAAAGGTTGTGCCATCCTTCTGTGAGGAAAGGCTGGCGTGGTATTCCTATCCCTTGGAGGAAGATGATAAAAAAGATGACAAGAATTAACTATACTGAGTCCCAGCCCCTGTCACATGACTGTGAGTTTAAAGAGGGGAAGGGAGAAGTTCTAACTTGTCTTGATACCATAGAAGTAGCTTGAGAAATGTCCTTTGAAGACCTTGTATAGTTTTGTGCCTTTTAACAGTCCAAGTGCTTTCATGCAGACACTGCACACCCATCCCAGTGGAGGGCCATGGAACTAGTGTTTCAAGGAAATCCAATTTGAACCTTGCTGAGAGATGAAAAAGGGCTTCTGTGAAGAACAAATCTGCAGAGTGGGTGTGTGGGTGAGTAAAGGAGACTGCAACTCTTCAAAGAGCATCTCTTCAACCCACAGCCTTCTTCCCGATAGTGTAAACCGCATTTTTCCAGTGTAGCATATGTGTTGTGTTAGGTATTACTGGGATATTATTTGGAGTGGGTGGGATGATTGGGGAAGAAGGGTGATGGGTAGGATCATTTTTGCTAAAATTCAGGAACCCATTGGGAAAATAGTGAAACATTAGAAAGAACAAGCAACTATTAATTTGTTTCTGTGTCAAGAATACTTTCCCTTTAAAAAAATGTCACTGGCATTAGATATGAGGACAGTGAGAGACTGTTTAAAAGCTCTGAACACCCGGAACCTACAAGCTAAGGTGTTCCCTGGCTGAGCTAGACACTTCTCCACAAAGAGCTAAACTGGTAAATTACAAAAGCTGCCATCTTTGAGATGTAAATTTACTGAGGTGGGAATTATTTTATTGAAAAGTATACATAGGCAGATTATTCTGTTTTGTAGGCGCTAATTCTTGACAAGAAGACCCCTTCTTTTCCAAAAAGAAGTCATAAATACCAGTTTGTCTATCCATGCCATTTGCTAAGCTATTTGAGAAAGGTGAAAAGGGTGGGGTAGGCGATAAGGGAGCAGGAAAGACAAGTACATAGGCTCTTAGGATGGAAGACTCTTAGAACCTCTCTGTGTTAAGAACTTTGAAATCACTGGTGACAAGGTTGATTCACTAACAGCACAAGTTTCACTCAAGCAATTCAAGGATTGAGAGATTTCAAAAGTTGCTAGGCATTGGACTGCTAACCACAAAGTCACTGGTTCAAATCTACCAGGCACTCCTCAGAGAAAGATAAAGCTGTCTGCTGCTGTAAAGATTTAGTCTCAGGAACCCCACATAGAGTTCCTAAGAGTCAAAGTTGGCTTGGTTTTGGTTTGGCGTGTCAGAAGATTACACTTTCACACCGGAGCAGTGGTTCACTTGAAACAATTTTTTTTTTTTTTTAATCTTAAGAATTAACTGATACTCAAAATATTTTGTCTTGAATCATGAGGTCCATCAGTTCTTGACATTATCTATACTGCATCTAGAGTTGCAGTGTGAAACTTTTAAGACATATGCTAGGTTTCTGTGAAAACCTGGTTTAAATGTAAACTTCATGGTACTCTGTCAGTTTCTGTCTTGATAAAACTACATCGTTGTTCAGTCAGTTCTAACTCAGAGCAAACCCCTGCCCTATCCTCAAATTGCTTTTATGTATAAGCCCATTATTGCAGCCACTGTGTCAATCTTTCTCATTAGAGGTCTTCCTCTTTTATGCTGAGCCTCTACTTTACCAAGCATGAAGTCCTTTTTCCAGGGATTGATGTCTCTTGATAACATGTGCAAAGTACTTGAGTACACCATCTTTGCTTCTAAGGAGCATTTGGGCTGTACTTCTTCCAAGACAGATTTGTTGGTTTTTCTGGCAGTCCTTGGTACATTCAATATTCTTTGCCACACCACAATTCAAATGCATGGATTCTTCTCTAGACTTCCTTATTCACTGTCCAGGTTCAGGTCAGGCACAACTTGGTCCTAAAAGAGATATCTTTGCTCTTTAACACTTTAAAGAGGTCTTTTGCATTAGATTTGCCCAGTGCACTACATTTGATTTCTTGATTGGTGCTTTCATGAGCGTTGATAACTTCAATCTTTTCTCCACCTATTATGATGTTGTTTATTGATCCAGCTGTAAAGAT